AAAAGGAAGTAAAAAAAATGGAAGTTCCTCTCAAACCGTTATTTTCAGCATCTGGCAATATGATGCAGGTTTTGGGCACCTTTGATGCTCAAATACGGTGGCGCAACAATTAAATCTCAACTAAAATTTATGTAGCAAATAATGTACATGAAAATCTGTTAGGAAGAGGCGCCATTGAAAATTTGGGGATGCTTTCGTGGATCGGTTCTGTTAATTGGGTCGAACAATACTCTTCGCTTTTCAAAGAAATTGGAAACCTAGGAAAACAGTATCGTATAAAACTGAAACCAAATACTTCACCTTTTGCAATTTCCACCCCTAGAAGAGTTGCTATTTATTTGAGACAAGCTGTAAAGGACCATCTAGAGGCATTGGAAAAAGCCCAAATAATTTCTAAAGTTACTGAACCTACAGCGTGGTGTGCGCCTATGGTTGTTGTCCCAAAAAAGATGGCAAAGTCAGAACTTGTGTGGATTACACAATGTTAAATCCAAGTGTTGAAAAGGAGCGTTTAGTTTTGCCAGAAATCAGTGAGGTATTGGCAATAATTGACCCGGGATCGCAGTATTTTTCTAAACTAGATGCAACCTCTGGTTTTTATCATATACCACTAGATAGTGAATCGCGCTACGTTTATTACGCCATTTGGCCGTTACGCTTTCAGTCGTTTGCAAATGGGAATAACGTCAGCAACAGAAATATTCCAGCGCGAAATGTTCGATATTTTGGAAGGCTTACAAGGAGTTGTCAATGTATCCGACGATATCCTTATTTGTGGTAGATCCAAAGAAGAGCATGATAGCAGGCTCGGAAAAGTTTTGGAACGATTCCAGGAGTGTGGTCTTAAACTCAACAAAAGCAAATGTGTTTTTGGGGCCCAAGAGTTATTATTCTTAGGCCACGTGGTCTCCAAAAATGGCATATCAATAGACCCTGAGAAGATTGCAGCCATAAACGGCATGACAAAGCCGACTGAAATCAGTGGTGTGAGGAAAATATTGGGTTCTCTTCAGATGCACGCAAAATTTAGTCCCAATCTGTCAGACCTTGCTAATCCTTTAAATCATTTTTTAGCTAAAAATTCTGAGTTTTGCTGGAATGAAGTCCACGAACAGGCTTTTCTAAAAATTAAAAAAGCACTTACGACGGCGCCAGTGTTGGCACATTTTGCACCTGGGCGTCCAACCAGAGTAGCAGCTGACGCATCCTCTTATGGTTTAGGTGCAATTTTAGAACAACGGAATGGCGATCAACCTTGGCGTTCAGTATGTTATACATCGAGAACGCTATCAGACACTGAAAAGCGATATGCGCAGGTGGAAAAAGAAGCGCTGGTTTCAACGCGGGCATGTGAAAAATTTAGACAGTATTTGATAGGCCAAAATTTTGTCATCATGACCGATCATAAACCGTTGGTGGAGCTTCTTGGTACTAAACCTTTAATTGACCTTCCGGCCAGAATACAGCGTTTCCGTATGAGGTTAATGCAGTTCAGCTATACAGTTGAATATATACCTGGCAAGTTAATGATAATTCCGGATATGCTATCTAGAGCCCCAATAGAGTCCACAAACAATGGAATGGATGTACATACTTCTAATTGATGATGTTGCGGTTTTTGTGGATTATATTTACCAAAATTTACCTATTTTAGAGGAAAGGTTGAAAAAGATTTTAGATGCTCAGGGCAAAGACAAACAAAGAATTAAATTGGTCAATTTCATTTTAAATGGATGGCCCACAAAAGTAACAGATCTCATCAATGAAGACAGAATATTTTACCAATATCGAGGAGAAATGACGATCCAAAATGGTATCATCACAAAGTTAAATAGAATTTACATAACCCCAAGAATGAGAGCAGAAATACTTGAAAAACTTCACGAGGGACATTTTGGTATAGCCAAATGCAGAAACAGAGCCAAAGAGTCTGGTGGCCTGGATTGAGTAGTCAGATTTGTAACAAGGTGGCGAAATGTGATGTGTGTATAAAATATCGAATTACGCCTACCTAGCCGCTCATACCTAGTCCCATTCCGGAATATCCGTATCAAAAATTGGGGCTGATTTATGTGAGGTTCGTGGACGTACTTTTCTAGTAGTAATTGACTATTTTTCTAAATACATCGAAACTGATCACCTTCAAACGCAAACGGCAAAAGAAGTTATATCCAAAATGAAAAATTTCATGGCTCGGTAGGGAATTCCAGAAATGGTTAGATCGGACAATGGGCCATGTTTTAAGGCTTACGAATTCATAGAATTTGCTAAGGAATATGGTTTTTGTCATTGCACCAGCAGCCCAACTCAAGCTCAGTCAAATAAGCAAGCAGAATCTGGGGTCAAAATTGCTAAGAAAATTCTACTCAAAAACAAAGACCTAAATTTGGGATTATTAGAATACAGAACCACAAAACTTGAGTGTGGATATAGTCCTGCTGAATTAATCATGGTCAAAACTTATACCAAATTGGACCTATATCCAAGATTTTAAAAACAAAAGAGAGATGGAGATAGATAAACAAGCTGGAAATTACATTCGATACCACAGAGTGTTAAATGTCAATCCTCTAAAAGTTAATGACAGAGTATGGATCACCAATCAAATATGTTTCGGAAAAATTGTTAATATTGGGCCAGAACCTAGATCATATGTGGTTGTGGCAGATAATAATCAGGCATAACGAAGAAACAGACATCACCTAGTTCTTGCAGAGGGAAAAAACGCTCCAGTTGACACAAACATTGTGGTCGATTTGCCTGCAGATATCTTTCCAAGCCAGACTTTTCCTTTAAGTGAAGAGGAGACAGAGGAAAATAACGGAGAAGGAAGCGCAGAATACGAAGAGACACAGGAAGTGTTATGAGTAAAAAAAAAAAAAAAATTAAATATCAAAATTATATTCTTTCGCTGCAAAATGAGTGGAATTCTAAAAATAATGTTAGCTGAAAATGCACTAAACCAAAAGTTTACCTAAACGGTTCGGAACAATTACCTGTTTGGGGTACAAAGGCCCTTCCTAGCTAGCTATGCCAGTGGAGAGTGGTCGAGGGTGAATAGCTGAGATAAATTTATAATAGCGCCACCCGTTTTCACCCCTACAGAAAGGTGATCGTGCTAACCAACAAAACGGGAAAGAACCTCAAGTAAGTAATAAACCAAGGGAAAGAAACACTAAATTCAAAATACGAAGTGGCAGCTTTAATTAAAGAAGTAAAAGACTATAATTTTACACCTTCAGTAATGTCATATATCAAATTAGTATTTTATCGTTTATCATATTCGAATTTGAATAAACTACTGATGTAAAAGTCAACAAAATATTCTTGAAACTTGAAAATACTGTAAATAATCACCAGTGATTAGAAAATACCGCGTATATGCATATATTTGGCGTACATTCGTAAGGTTTTCAGCACTTTATCGAAACAACCAACTTAAAAACTAAGGGCGGGATTACCCAACTCCTTAATTCCTAATTCTTAATCGCTATTTCTTATTCCTTTATCCATAAGAAGTTGCTCAGTCAAATAAGCAAGCAGAATCTGGGGTCAAAATTGCTAAGAAAATTCTACTCAAAAACAAAGACCCGAATTTAGGATTATTAGAATACAGAACCACAAAACTTGAGTGTGGATATAGTCCTGCTGAATTAATCATGGTCAAAACTTATACCAAATTGGACCTATATCCAAGATTTTAAAAACAAAAGACAGATGGAGATAGATAAACAAGCTGGAAATTACATTCGATACCACAGAGTGTTAAATGTCAATCCTCTAAAAGTTAATGACAGAGTATGGATCACCAATCAAATATGTTTCGGAAAAATTGTTAATATTGGGCCAGAACCTAGATCATATGTGGTTGTGGCAGATAATAATCAGGCATAACGAAGAAACAGACATCACCTAGTTCTTGCAGAGGGAAAAAACGCTCCAGTTGACACAAACATTGTGGTCGATTTGCCTGCAGATATCTTTCCAAGCCAGACTTTTCCTTTAAGTGAAGAGGAGACAGAGGAAAATAACGGAGAAGGAAGCGCAGAATACGAAGAGACACAGGAAGTGTTATGAGTAAAAAAAAAAAAAAAATTAAATATCAAAATTATATTCTTTCGCTGCAAAATGAGTGGAATTCTAAAAATAATGTTAGCTGAAAATGCACTAAACCAAAAGTTTACCTAAACGGTTCGGAACAATTACCTGTTTGGGGTACAAAGGCCCTTCCTAGCTAGCTATGCCAGTGGAGAGTGGTCGAGGGTGAATAGCTGAGATAAATTTATAATAGCGCCACCCGTTTTCACCCCTACAGAAAGGTGATCGTGCTAACCAACAAAACGGGAAAGAACCTCAAGTAAGTAATAAACCAAGGGAAAGAAACACTAAATTCAAAATACGAAGTGGCAGCTTTAATTAAAGAAGTAAAAGACTATAATTTTACACCTTCAGTAATGTCATATATCAAATTAGTATTTTATCGTTTATCATATTCGAATTTGAATAAACTACTGATGTAAAAGTCAACAAAATATTCTTGAAACTTGAAAATACTGTAAATAATCACCAGTGATTAGAAAATACCGCGTATATGCATATATTTGGCGTACATTCGTAAGGTTTTCAGCACTTTATCGAAACAACCAACTTAAAAACTAAGGGCGGGATTACCCAACTCCTTAATTCCTAATTCTTAATCGCTATTTCTTATTCCTTTATCCATAAGAAGTTAACAACGTGTTTTTGAATGATGGGGTTTATCCAAATTCTTATTTCTTAATTCGTAATTTAATATTTTAAGAACGACCTCGAAAAGTTGCCAACTTTTAACTTTTACGAATTAAGGAATAAGAATTAGGAAACGCGTCTGCGCTCTTGGTCCGCGATCAGCTGTTTGACATTCATATTTCTTCAATTTTGTTTGTTTACATTTTCTGATGGGTAAGGTTAGGGTCTTTTATTGTATGTGGTCCCTGTGAACCGTAATAAAATTCAAAAAAATGATTGTTGAAGAGCAATCCGCCCTCATAGACCACATTGAAAGTTTTCCACATTTATGGGACAAGAAAAATGCCATGTACAGTGATATTATTGCTAAAGAAAACGCATGGAAAACCATTTCCACTATTATGGAAAAGACTGGTAATACTTTCTTGTTGATATTCTTTATGAAATAACCATTAACCTTATATTTTCTAGTAAAAGAATGCAAGGATTCTTGGGACTTTTTAAGATCCAAATACATACGAGAAAGGAGAGTAATCAAGAACATCCCATCGGGGTCAGGTGCAACTAAGGATCGCTAGATTTTATTCGACAGATTAGGGTTTTTGCGGATGTAGTCATCCAAAGCAGAATGTAAGTTTTCAACCTCTACATACATATAAAAAGGTACATAAAGTCTGTTTTTTTTTTTAAAGATAATTCCGCAAGTCAAAAATTTAGTAATTAGGTATGTTGTTAACAACGCAAGCCTTTTCTACATAAAAAAGTTGAAAGCATTGAAAATTTTATATTGTTTTGCAAACATACATTTTGACTTTTATCTTTAAAAAAACAGACTTTAGTTGCTTTTGACATTGCTTATTGCTTGGAGTAATTGGACTGATTTATGAAATTTTGAATTTCAAGAAATAGCCAGCCATTCAGAGCTTGGCAAAACTCTCAGTAAAAGGGCTTGAAGCACAAGGCTCTAAGCCTCAAAGTGCTTTAATTTTCAAGCACAAAGACGTTTTTATTTCCGAAAGTGCTTCTCAACCACAAAACCCTCAAAGTGCGTTGTGCTTGGCAAGCACAAAGCCCACAAAGATATTTGGAAAGTGCTTGAAGCATTTCATAAGGGCTTGGGGTGCCTTCGAATGTGCTTGAAGCACTGGTCTTCAAAAGTGCTTGAAGCTCTCTAAATGTGCCTAAAGCCCTTCGAATATGTAATAAATTTCTCAAAGTCAGAAGCTGCCATCACATACTTCAGCCATAAGTTTAATTAGTAGAGATAAACTTCCAATATTAAAAAGTAGAGGTAGTATTTTTTTTTAAATTTTTCAAGATTCAGTAGTATTCCAAATAAGACACCAAGTTAATTTTTTATTTGAATTTTTGTAATCAGTTCTATATTTTTATACAATTTTAAGGCCAACCCCAAACTTTCCACTATTAAGTTCACGAGAAAACAGCACCCAGACCAATTAGATGGTCCTGGTTCAAATAAAATATTAAAATTCGAAACCAGCATAACGATACATACTTATTAAACCTAATATTGATTTTTCTAGGACACGAGGCAACATTAAGATCTCTGGAGAATCCCAATCTCAACAAATTTCACCGAAAATTAGGAAAGCTCCATTCTACAATTTTAGTAACACATCTGGAATGTTTGAGGTCGAAGAAGAGGATGATGACTGCACTCAGATTCAGTTGGAGGAACTGGAAGTCATCCTAGAAACACCTTTAGATGAGGGAGACATATCTCAAGACCTCACTCAAGACTCGCCTTCGTTGCTTTCGGGTCCGGCTGCCAAAACCTCCAAAATACCAGAAAAAGTTATACTTACCTAGAACTTCAACTTCATTGACCCAATAAAAAAAAAAAAAAAAAAATGAAAGTTTTTGGACACAGCCAGAGAGCAAAAAAAAAACAGATGAATCTGTGGCAACCTTGATAAATATATGCACAAGTATTGGAAACAAAATTCAAAATATAATGGATGATAGCGGTCCCTCGAATGTTCCAATCCAATCAAACCTCTCTAGAAGTGACCACAATTTTCTACTAAGCATGTTAGAGTCAATTTTTATTGATAAACTTGGCATAACTCTCTATTTTTGTTAATTAGTTTGTAGTATAGTAGTTTTCTCCAAGAGTAGAATTTTCTTAAAAAAAAAATTACTTTCCTTTTATGAGAAGCAATATTTTTTATTTACATTGTATTAATAATATTTCTTTTGTTAGAAAGATTTTTACAGGTAATGATCAACGTGAATACAGGGACACTTCGGTCCCTGTTTGGGAATCGGCCCACTGAGCAGTGGACTCAGGCTTCCCGTGCCAATCCTTGACGCGTTTCGTCCTTGTTAGGACTCATCAGAAGGACATAAGCTGAAGCTCCCTGTCCAAGCAAAATTGAACTTCGACCGAAGTGTCCCTGTATTCACGTTGGTCATTACCTGTAAAAATCTTTCTAACAATTTCTATTGCCAACGAAAGCTCAGACCAATCAGTGTAGTTCAACGCCGGTAGGGGTATTTGCCCTCGGAGTAGTTGTTTCTGACTGGTCAACGAAGTTCAATTTTGCTTGGACAGGGAGCTTCAGCCTATGTCCTTCTGATGAGTCCTAACAAGGACGAAACGCGTCAAGGATTGGCACGGGAAGCCTGAGTCCACTGCTCAGTGGGCCGATTCCCAAACAGGGACCGAAGTGTCCCTGTATTCACGTTGGTCATTACCTGTAAAAATCTTTCTAACAATTTCTATTGCCAACGAAAGCTCAGACCAATCAGTGTAGTTCAACGCCGGTAGGGGTATTTGCCCTCGGAGTAGTTGTTTCTGACTGGTCAACGAAGTTCAATATTTCTTTTATTTGTTTATTTTGTAGGCCTGTAGTATTTACCATTCAAGTGCCGGTTTCTCAAAAGCGAGTCACCGCTGACCTCCGGGTTGGTTTTAACTCCATGGTAAGCGTGTCTAGTTGCTATGTTTACCCTGGAGTTATGCTTAACCCAGGGGTGACTTGCTATTGAGAAACCGGCCCTAAGTTAAATTTGGGTAAATTAAAACCTCTCATGTTTAAATGAATATGTTATTTATGTTTGATATATAAAAAAAAAAACTTTATTATTTGTTTTATTTATTAATACCAACACCAAAAGGATTTTTTAGTGACTACTGTTTGTAACCATGTTATAAACGGTAACTGAAAATATGATGTACTTTCAGTTACCGTTTCTAACACGGTTACAAACGGTTAGTTGCTAAAAAATCCTTCAAATAATTTATAAAAAAAAATAGAAAAAAATTAAACATTCCTGAATTATAACACAATATTTTCCTCTAGCCATAATTTGAAATAAAGAGAACATCAAGGAAAAAAAGCAAAAAATTTGATAAATTCTAGAAAAACATTTATATGGGAGCAGATCCTCTATTCACATAGTTCTCTTGCCATGGGACCCAACCCTCCAATGAGACAAAATATTCAGCCAGAATATTTCTCTGTTCCTTTGCAGAAAATGTGGGATTATTTGACCCTATTCTACCCACAGATCTTAAATTGTCAATAGTAATATAACTAGTGCAATGGAAGTTATTGATAATTTTTGGGAAATTTGCCCGAATGCATTTTTAGTTGAAAAAGAGCACGAGTGCACGTAGTGCACGAGTGCCTTTTTCAGTTAAAAACGCCTGAGTGCAAATTTGTCGAAAATTATAAATATATTTCCATTGCACGAGTTGTATTTAATGAGAGAATTTCATAAATCAAAAATTTAAATTTTTTGTCAAAAAATGTCAAAACACCAGTTGTCGCACCAGTTAGTATGCAATTCTGATAATTTGCACTAGTGCAAATTATCGCGTAATTACAATCTGGTTGGTTCAAATCAACAATCAAAACATGTCAATTTATTGTTGGAATACCAGTTTTGACAGATGTATGAAATTCTCACCAATATCTCTCCATGATCCTGGTTGCAAATTACCATTGGCATCAAAGTAATCAGCGAAGCCAGTAGGACAATATTTTCTGTTTTCAGGTGCCAAATTTAATTCACAATTTCGCATGAAATTGTGCAATACAACGGCAGCTTGGATGATTACCAGTAGAAATATAACTAGTGCATAAAATATTTCCGCAAATTTTTGAAAATTTTGTCTGAAGCCAATTTTTTAACAAAATCATGAGTGCATAGCGCCTGAAAATTTTTTCTTTGGCGTTATGCACGAATGGTTTTGTTTAATAAAATTGGCTGAAAACGAAATTTTTGAAAATTTCCTTCAGGAAATATTTTATGCACGTGTTATATTTTGATAGGAAATTGCCCGAGTTTGAAGTTTATTTATTATACATTGTGTCGAATATTTTAATTATGGTGATGTGTTCTGTGATGGTGATTGTTATTGATCTTTCCCATTTAAATTGCGTTTGTCAAAAATATACACTTTGACAGATTTCTGACATCAATGCGTTTTAAATGGAAAAGCTGGTCTCAATGCCAAAAATGACAACCTAAAAGTGGGTATCCGACAGACGCCGCGCGGCATTGTCGCATTGGAAATTGCACCCGGAAATATCCCGCTCACCAGGGATATTTCCACTTATCAATTTTTGAAAATTACGAGGTAAATTTCCAGTTAAATATGCATAAGGGAAATTTCCAGTAGAAATATAACTAGTGCATAAAATATTTCCGGAAATTTTTGAAAATTTTGTCTGAAGCCAATTTTTTAACAAAATCATGAGTGCATAGCGCTATGCACGAATGGTTTTGTTTAAAAAAATTGGCTGAAGACGAAATTTTTGAAAATTTCCTTCAGGAAATTTTTTATGCACGTGTTATATTTTGATAGGAAATTTCTCGAGTTATCGCTTCGTGAAAACAGAGTGATGACTTCACGAAGCAACATTTTTTTCTAAACGATTGATAAGACAGTGAGTAATCATTTTTAAAACGTCAGTTAAAAATACAGTTAGAACAAAATATAACGCAATAGTTTATAATAGAAAAAGTAATCAGGTAAGTAAGTAAACAATTCTTAAACTTCAATTAAATCTACAGTTAGAATAAAATACACAATTTTGATAATTAATAGGAGTGTTATGATTTTGATTAACAAACTTGTTAGACATAGCCGTTTGAGATGTAATTCCTGAAGCTCCAGGTGGTAGGATGTGCACATCAGAATCAGTGCCGGTCTTGTTATTTTCGGACGAACAAGCTTCTGACTCGTTTGTGAAAGGATTTGTGGACGTCGAGGTTGAAGTTTTCCTTAAGCCTTGAATTATTGATACATGATGCTCCTCATCTAGCTGAAGATATGGCTTAATTGAGTTGACGTTCCCATGTCCCGTTATTTTCATTAGCTGTTGTTCTTCTATGCCCGATTTGGCCAGTTGACTTACTGTAGTTGATCTGTTTGAGTGATTTGTAATCTTTTTTTTAAGCGAATCAAGCCCTATTTTTTCTGCTGAATCCTTAGTCCATGAGGATATTGTATTTCTTCCCACTGGGGTATTTTTATACCAGACATCTTTTATGAAATAATGGGGATTCGCCGTTAAAAAGAATCTATTTGTTTCCACATTTGGCGGTCTTCGTTCCATCAATTTTTCATATAGCCGTACCGGGCAAAACTCGGGATTTTTCCGGTTGCGAACTAACCATTTGCTATCCGTACACTTTTTGGATCCCCCTTGAGCTGTCTTAGAAAAGATGGGATTGTATTCAATTCGTCCTGAAACAATTAAAATAAAACAAATAAAAATAGTCTACTAACCGGTGAATGTTCCATTATTGTGTAATTCCTTTCGAAAATGAGAAGTCAGAAGGTTAGTTGCTTCGCCGCCTCTCCATGCTAGCTCAACTGCTGCAACATGATAAAATTTTCTTTGCAGGCCCACAGGGGTGTCCTCTTTCCAATAGGATATTATGGCATGGTACTCTGCATGAGTAAAAGCCGTTGAACTTACTCTACGTTTTTCTGGCAACTTTTGAAGCTGTCTTCTCTTCGAATCCCTGGCTTTTCTGGAGCCGGTAAATTCCAGGTCCATAAAAGGATCGATCTTGGTTCCCCATTTTTCGTAATAGACTTCTTGTAGTTGCTTTGCAATATTATTCCACATTACCTTAATTACAGATTCTTTATAGTCCTCCCCATTTGCTCTCTTCATATTGAAGGCCCAGTCCTTCAATATATCATTCAGCGTTTCATTTGTATACTTTGCATTTTCGATATCATAGGTTCTCTGGCTGCAGAACTGTCGGAATTGCGCCCAAATAGACTTTCTGCTCTTTACTGTGTTCTTTGGGGTACTGTCTTGCGTAATTTTATCAATATCGTTTAGAGAAAAATCACTGAAATGGGACATTTTTATACAAGATAGTCGAAGAAAGAATAAAGCGACTACAATAGCAGATTGGGTTACTATTGTTACGATAGGTACATATTTACATCAGGTTTGTTTTATGTCCATAGCAACGGTAAAGTAAACCTACTAAGCAGCGTTTTGGCTTCTAGATTTTGATAGGCGACATCACGTTGACGTTTCTTGTCAAACCCTAAAGGTCGGTTTCCGACGGACGCCGCGCGGCATTGTCGCATTGGAAATTGCACCCGGAAATATCCCTCTCGAGAGGGATATTTCCACTTATCAATTTTTGAAAATTTCGAGGTAAATTTCCAGTTAAATATGCACAAGGGAAATTTCCAGTAGAAATATAACTAGTCCATAAAATATTTCCGGAAATTTTTGAAAATTTTGTCTGAAGCCAATTTTTTGACAAAATCATGAGTGCATAGCGCCTGAAAAAATCCCGAACCCGAAGGGTGAGGGATTTTTTCT